CATTTTGACTAGTCCATGCGTATGGTAAAAAGTGGGATAAGATTTTTTTCGATTAAACTAAAAACTCATTTATTTTTTTATTTCCTTCAATGCTCCACCTTCTATTTTAAAAGATGAATAAGTAAAAAAAAATATGCATAACGCAATTCATACAAGAGTGTTGCGGAGTACATCTTAGTACATAGTTATTTATTGACTGAGTGGTGTATGATTGACTTTAATAAGACGCACAACACTAATAAATATTGTCAATTCAACAATGGAACCAAGTTCGACTTAAAAAAAAATAATTCCTCAATTGTTTTGGCAAAATATATCCTCACAAAAATTGTATAATCTTTAAGTTAGATCAAGATTGATTAAACTCGAAGGTCAATAATTAAGTATAAAAAAGTAAATGTCAAGTTCGATTGCTCCCGTGTGACACCCACCTCAAATAATTATCTTTCAACAGAATTCGATGCACGCGTGATTGTCGCGTAATTTTGACAGTTGTATAAAAAGAGATCAGACCCATCCAAATGGTGGAAAACACCTATCCAATAATCATGGTTTACAACCAATTTGAGTCAAGATTAAAAAGATAACCCTCACATTTTAAATCGAAGAGAGTGGGAAAATGCTGTTCCAATTCTGTGGAGGAACATGAATTTGAACCCTAGAAAAGACAATTGGTGTGTGACTTGACTCCATACATGAAAATCTAATAAAGCAAACATTATTTATACTTGGTGATGAAATGTCAAACATCTACTTTTTCTTTTTTTCAAATAAAAAAAAGGTAGACTTTTTGACAATCTACAATAGAAAATTGGCAGTATTTTCCTTCACCCCCACCGACAAGTCCACTAACTTTTCAAGCCGGTAGCCAATCAAATAAAATCCCTATCCAAACGTCGTCTTACAACTCCTTTTTTGATTTTCCAAGTTAGTGACAGTCTTAATGTAATTGAGCTTGATTTGTGGTTACATTGAGTGAGTCAGTCATTATCTAGTGGACTTTAAAATGAGTACCATTTACTCCAAGTCATTGGCTCGAAATTTGTTTAGAAAGTCAGTACGATAATTATTTTTCTAATAAGGGTATTATCTGGTGCCCTAGTGTAACTAGGGTTGGGTACGAATCCGACAAACATTTATCGTTTTCATTCATTCCAACTTGCAATCTTTACATTGTAATTCGGGCACCTTGCTTACTCTCGAACACAACCTGATCGAGCGTTTAGCTTGACATCGGATTAAGGATTGAATATGTGGCTTTAATAGGCACCTTACCTTCTCGTGTGGGGTCCAAGCGCATCCCGACCGAGCTTTTGGCTTGACATCAGATCAATGATTGAATATGTGGCTCTGATACCAACTGTAACAGGTTGGGTATTTTGTAATTCGATTCAAAAGCTTAAGCTGTTAGGTGGGACTAACACCTAATCCATCATACCCATTACATTTCTCATCTGAATTCGATGTGGAACAAACCTCTAACACCTAGTTAATAGAGTGTCCATCTCCTTAAATAGGTATGGCCGTGTTCGAGTCCGCAATCCCTCTAGTTTGTCTAGGAAAAAAATTTATATACTTTTCTAACGAATATATATAATTAAAATACTCTCTATCAATAATTTTTAGTGGTTGTTGATGAAATTCACCAATATTTTGATAGATTAGTTCCGCGTGTGAGTGAGGGGAAACGAGAGAGTTAAAAAATAGTAAAATGAAATTTATTCAGAAAGTAATTCAATTATCATGGAACAAATGTGTTTTTACTTCATAGCCTTTTCCAAAATTAAGCAATTTAGTAGGAAAATTTATAATAGTAGGACAAAAAGGGAATGCCACATTTGTATTGACAAGTTAAGGGTCTGTTTGGTTCGCATTTTGTTTCTGCATTTTTGTTTTAATCCGAAACAAAATAAGTGTTTTGTTATATGGTGTTTTTAATAATAATCGAAAACATATTTGATAATGTCCGGTTTGTTGTAAAATGTTTGAAAGCAAAAACATATTAAAAGATATTGCAAGCTTAAAAAAATATAATGACTAGCTTAAAAAGGTCATTTCAAAGTTTTAGGAGTAATTTTTTTTTTTTTGGTAGTGTTCATTGCTATAAGACCTATTGCTATATTCGCAGAAACATATAACAACATTAAATTGGTGTTTCGATTTTTGGTTATTATTTACAAAATATTTTGACACAGTACAAAATAAAATATTTTTTACCAATTATTATTATTTTTTGTTCACTATTACAATAATAAAAAAATAAACAAAGACACAACAAATAAAACGACTACCAAACCGACTCTAAATGCATGCAAGAAAAATGGAGAGTTTTAGTCGAGTAAAAAAGGAAACATGACCTTATACACATAGATGATGGGACAGACTCACAAAAATATTTTGCAACCAAATAATTAGTTACAGAATGGCTTGTAATTTTTATTTTTTTTGATGTGATAGAAACTATTGTGATTAAAATATGGACCATTCAGGTACAATAACACTCCAAAAGTATAAAAATTGTAACTCATGTATTTGTATAATAATTCTTTACAACATTCCATAAAAATGGATCACTCAGTTACAATAACAATCCAAAAGCATAAAAATTGTATTAATTTACGTATAGTGATTCAGTACAATATTATATTAGGATAACCAACATATATAAAGAATTGATATTTGGACCTCTAAGACAGTTCGATGATTATTATCATTTGTTTTTTCTTAACCCTACAAGAATTCATTTATGTTTTTTTGTCATTTCACCTACTAAGATGAGTTTGAGTCACAATAATAATTGAAGTGTATGAGTAAAATAATTAAACCTATAAATTTGGGGGTGATATATATATATATATATTCACAGAAATTTACACAATTTAAAACTTAATTTTTTATTTTGAGAGATAAAGGAGATATCGCTTTAATAGATTTTTTATAAAATTTATAGAAAGAACAGTGATAGATAAACCAAACATTTCTACCGAAAAGAACACTGAACTTGACGTGGCCATAGACACGTCAAACAATTTCATTACATGTAAGACGCTAACTCATTTTTTTCTTTCTTCCTCTTCGTTTCTCTCTCCTGTTCTTCATCAATTCTTCTTATCTATTCTCTTTCTCGAAATCTAGTGGTCAAATTTCTCTAGATTAATTATAGTTTGAGACTGGTCCAAACGTTTGGATGAAACGTATACACATATCAAAATTTCTGTTTGATTTTCATAGATACAAAATTTAAAGGACAGAAACAATAGTATTTGTTTTTTGATTTTTTACCTTCTGCATTGACAAAACATGGAAATTTTTAATTTTTTTTTTATCTTCAATTTTGCAAAATTAAAAGGAGAGACAGAAAACCAGAATCAATTGAGATATGATTGAATAGAGAATAAAAACCCATAATTAGAGAAAGAGAAACGAAGAGGTATCTCAGACGTTTATACTTTTAGGAAATAATCTGACGTGGTCAAGCCACGTTACCTCAGGCGTTTATACTTTTAAGAAATAATCTGATGTGGCCAAGCCACATTAAGTTCGACCTTTCATTCGATTGTTTAGTTCGATTCTCGTATCATTTTTCTTATAGAAAACAATATGTCTGTTTCCGTATTCACCCAAAAAAAAAGAAAAAAAGAAAAGGAAAGAAAAGGTCCATTGCCGTAAAGTGCAAAGAACCTCCAATAATAAACATATTGTACATCTAAAATGAAATATTTATAATTTATATTTTATAATAACAGTTTCATTTTATTGTAAACGAAGCAAATTGTTTTATATGCAATCTAGCTCGGCTCAAACTCTTTTTTTAAGCTTGTTAAATAAATTAGTTGAGCCAAACTTGGCTCATTAAGTTCGCAAACATGTTAATGAATAATATTTTGTGAATATAAATCTATTAAAAAAATTTCATATTACTGGACAATTGAGTTTAAAATTGATTAAACGAGCCAAGTTAGAACAATTAAAGTTGAACTTCACTTAAGTTAAAGGAATCTGGATTCTATTACGTGGCATTTAATCTTGTGCTATTTAAATTGTTTATTTAACAACTTCATGTTGTCTATATAACAATTTTGTATTGCTTATACAATAACTACATTACATTGTTTATGTAATGTATCTAAAATTACAAGTACAAGATGAGAAAGCGGTTCTTTATTACTAAGTTGTATTGATGACATAATATCGTCAACTAGTGATTGAACTTACTAAAAGTGTAGAAAATTTTAAGAGACATGTGTCATATATTGTTTCTTAAAAAATTATTAAATTATCCTTTAAGTATTGAATATTTAAATTTTAAATTTCAAGGGTATATATGAAAAGATGAAAAATATATTGTTTTAAAAAAAAGAGTGAACAATTATTTTGGAACAACCCAAAAAGGATAGATAAACATTTTTTTAGACAGAGTCAAACACTTTGCATGGCATGGATGAAGTAATAGGAGTAACCGGTGTAAAAAAGTCTTTCCGATGGGACCCAAGTCAAGGAAAAATTATTCATGATAATTGTTGTAATTCATTTTGATTTGATGGAGTATTTGTAACCGTTAATTATATCATGTTACCGTTACATTAAAAATAATCATGTAACATTAAAAATTGGGTCCCACTCAAGCTCGAAATTGGAATTTAATTATCAGCTTTAGAAACTTGATTTGCTTGATTTGCTAAGTGTCAAAGAAAGTGGGGTTCACATAGAATAGATAACCATAATTAGCCATAAATAACAATTAGCACAATTATTCAATTTACGCCGTCAAAAACGGAAAAACTGCTATGAACAACACCCCGAAATTTACGGTTCTGACACTCGTCAGACAAGGAAAAAAAAAAAAAAAAAAACTAATCATTTCATTTCACGAGTAACATTTTATATATTCTATTAATGTTTAAGATAATCATGCCCCTTTAAATAATCAAAGACTGTCAAAGTTTCAAAATAAAATTGCATTTAAAGTGTGAATGCAATTAAACCTTTTTTTTTTTTTTCCTCCTTAAAAAAGTTGGACTGGATGGAAAAGAAAATATTGAACAGAGAGAGAGAGTAATTGAAAGGAAAATAGCAGAAAACATCTGTTGTCTTTAGAGAGAGAGAGAAGGGAAAGAGGGGAGAGAGGGAGAGAGGGGAAGTGGGTTCCCGTTGTGGTCTTGCTCAGGAGGAGGAAGGATAGAGATCTTGTCAGATCGGAAGCTGAAACTGTAAGATATCTTAGCCTCCATTTCTGGGTCTGTGTTGTTTCTGTTGCTGATCTGAATACGAAATGTGGTTTCGATCTGTAACGATGTGAATCGATCTATCTGGTGCTGAGTTTTGGTGTTTCTATGCTTTTTGGTGTTTGGTTTCTGGGATTTTCGTTTCTTGTTTTGTGAATGTGAGCTGAAATTTGGGGGCCTCTCTCCAGCTTCATCTTTATGCACACACAAACTTTGGGTTCTTCTAATTTTGTTATTTTTTTTTTTCTGTGTGTGGCCTTAGAAATGAGGGCTTTGTCCCATTTTTTGAGCTATTTGATAATATGGGTTTGTGACTCTGGCTTCTTTTCTTGTATGTTTGTGCTTCTGTGGCTTCTCTTGATTTTGGGTGTTTTGAATGAGCTTTTTTGTTCTCATTTTGATTTTTCCTTATATTATATCTGTACATGTTGCTATTATTGTTAGGTGTTTACGGATCTTGCTCCTTCATTTTCCCATTTCTTTTTAGTTTTACTATTATCAGTTATAAACTAGTCAGTCATTGAAACTTGGTGTCAGTTGGCCCCTCTTTCAATATATATATATATATTTTTGTTTATTTATTTATTTAAAATCAAACTTTGATGTGCTTCAGATGTTTCAATTTTGCCAGAAATGAGAATACTTCTTTTTAGTATAATTGGGTTCTCACTTCTCATGTCCATCTGCGTCCTTTAGATTCCCCATCTATGTAGAAAGATTTTCATAGGCTCTGCATGACAGATATCTGAAATTTAAGTTTGCTAATTATGTTATGATTCTTTTTAACTTTTTTCAAAATTTTTATTTACATTCTGTTTTATTATTTTGAAATTCTCTTTGGGAGCTAGGATGGTTATGTTCGGTTATTTTTTCCGTGAATTTTAGATTTGCATGCCCATATTGCTTTGTTTCTTATACACCGTTTGTTTGAGAGCGATATTAGTGGGGTCTGGCTATAAAAGTATAGCTAAAATGAAAAGGGAAGGGATTATAAACCAAGTCTTTATATTGGTATAGCAAATTGTGGGTTCTTAATAGAAAGCATAGTATATAATATGTCTTTATTGATACAGTTCCTTTAGGCAATATTTTATACTTTTTCATGTTTTGGGGTGAGAAGTTCATATTTACAAATTTACAAATGGACCAAGCATGATCTGTTTTTCCTTTGCTCACCAAGGGAGTAGCTTAAGCACCACAGTTCTCTTGTTTTGGTGCTAAGTTGCTATCACCATAAAGTGGAAAACATGGGTATAATCATAAAAAATAGTGTTGCTTAAGAGGTAGACAAACGTAAATTTATCTAAAAATATAATGTAGTACATTTGGCCTGTCATTTTTTTCAGTGAAATTTGAACGTGTAAAAATTGCTAACTCTAGCATAGTATCTTTTTCTCATAACTCTAAATTTTTTTTTTTTGGTACTTCTTATCAAGGAAAGCAGAAAAGACTTAACTGCCAAAAACTGAGAAGATAAATTAGGTTTTTTGATAATAAATTTAAAAGCAAAACTAGACTAAAAATCAACCATGCCATTTTGTGCATGATTATCAATAAGTTGTTCAAATGTATGATTACTTATCAATTTTTTATAATTTAATTTGATAATTGTTAGCAGTTAATCCTGAAAATATTGCATTGCTTTCGATTTATATTTCACTCGCTTTGTGTCATGGAGGTATTCTAAGTATAATTTTCCAGTAGCTAGAGCGATGGCCTACTGAGTGTATTCCTTTGTCAGTTTTAAGGAGGCAGTAGGCACCACACAAAGAGATGCCTACAAAGTTGTACTCTCTTCAGAAATGTCCATCTGGGAGTTCGACATGTCTAGGAGAGATTCTTACAAAATATTTTTGGTGTTTGTGCTCATCTGCGGATGGTGTTTGGGGAAAGGGGTGATTACTCTTGTCAAATTATATATATATATATATATATATATATATATATATATATATATATTTATATTTATTTATTTTAGCACCCTTGAATTATTCTACATATAAATTGCTTCAATTGTGGAAAATACCGTAAAGAATTAGTGTGCTACTAGAAGCGACAGTGGAAGGAAATACTTTGTTTAAGGCAAGCAGTCTATTTTGTTTCTCTTGGCATATAAACGAACTTAATTACTTTTTTTTTTTTTGACACTAGTGTGATTAATTAGATTGCAAGTGCTAATATTTCCCAAGTTATGAGGCAGGTTTTGAATGTTCCAAAAATTAAAATTTGAATTTTCAATGTGTTTTAGAACTGTGAATACAAATTGAAAAAGATGACCTCTAATAAATTGTGATGCTTTTGTCTCATTTTCTTGCAGCGCAATGGGGAGGGATGTTGCAGGTTTACGCATTGATAAGAAGACTGATTCTCTCAAGGCAAATTCAGTTGATATCTCTCATGATAGAGTTCATGTCTCTCCCAAAGTTTCAGGAGACAGCATTGAAGAAAAGGACCATGAGACGGAAGTTCCTACTGCAGAGGACTCACTTGTTGAAGAATGTCATGAGAAGCAAGATGTACTAGTTGTTAAGAGCACCAACCATGGTGTTGGTCTAACTGAGGGGAAAATCTTGAAACCTGAAGCTCACAAGTCAAGTGACAAGAAGACTGGCTCACCTGTTAAACCTTCATCAGGGTTTGCTAGTCCTGGAACTTTGCAATCAAACTACACTGTTTCTCAGCCATCCACTCCCTCAACTGAGAATCGGATTTCAACCATATCTCGTCCTGTTGAAGACACTGTGGATGCTGCTGGGAACTATTCATCAAATGCTAATGGTCTGCATTCCCCCATCTCTGCAAAGAAATCACAGGTAAGTCAAATTTTTATGGTGCCATATGATGGTGCCATCTTTTTCCTGCTCTTGATCTATAAATTTCTGAACTAATTAGCCCTTTTCGATTTAAACCTTTAATTTTACAATCTCAATTGTTTAGTGTTATATTTTTTTTTCCTAGTTGGTACTCACACACACATGCCTCCATTGAGGCTCAAACCCCTGACCTCTATTTGAGAAGTAGGAGCTTGATACCGCTAGGCCACTGGCCTGTTTAGTGTTATATTAAGGTTACTGAAACAGAATTATTAGCAAAGGACTGCAGTTGTGGTTTAAGAATCTGACATGACTTGGATAAGTAGGATATAAACTAGAGGGGTTTCTGTTTCCTAAGTTGAGTTAGAGTTTGGAGGTGGAGGACTTATAATCTTTTAAAACCAATCTTTTTAGTGGCAATGTGGCAGCAGTTTTGAGTTTATAGTTACTAAAATTTTGTTTCTTGTTTGTGTTATTAATCCTCACATTAAATTTAAAACATGATGCTTCAGTGGGTGAGACAGATTGGATTTGTATGGCCTACAACTTGTTGGATTGGGTTAAGGTTGAGATTTTTTACTTAATGGTCAATACGTTAATGTTTTTCTGCTGAAGACGAGGGAAAAAGAAGAGGTTAAGAACACAGTAACTACTGCGCTTGAGCAGGACAGAACCAATTTTTCTTGCAATTTGCAAGTATCATCGTGTTTTTCTTAAATTCCTGCCTTCGTAAAGTCATGGAGTTTTTATTAGGGCGAATTGCATTAAACCCCCCTTTCTAAAATTTTCAAAAAACCCCTCCCCCTCCGACTAATTGAGGGGGGATACTTTTTGATTTATTACCAAAAATACCGCTACCAAATCAAGGGGGTTTTATGCAATTCGCCAAATTGTGTGAATTTAGCTAAAAGATTTTTTTTTTTTTTTTTTTCCCCTTGAATAATAGTATTTATACTTATATTATCTTTTACATGCATTACCATACTTTTAATTGAAGGAAAGCATAAGAAAAATAAATTTCACAATTATGAGTGCAACTACATATAAGTTCAAATCTTATATATTTACTCATGTTATATATTATATATACCGTTATTATATTATTTACATTATATTTTTTGTTTTATACAATGCATATATATATACATATATAAGTATATGAGATGGTCCTTCCAGGAAAAAAAAAAAAAGTACTCCGTATATGAGATGAACATTTGATCAAACAATAGATCGACAAAAATGAATTTTAATTACAAAAAGTAATTGGCTGAATTGCATAAATCCCTCCTTGGCTTTGTGGGGGTATTTTAGTGACAGTAAACCCCTCAGTTGGGGGGATTTTTTGGCAAATTTTTTTTAAAGGGGGGTTTACTACAAAACGCTACAAGCCAAGTTTTATTTTATTTTATTTTTAAATGCAATTCACCCTTTTTAGAGACACTATATATATATATTTGATATAATTATAGATTTTGTGATGGTGCTGATCTTGAAAGTTTTGTATCATCTACCAGCCAAATTCTCCTCGGGTGTCAAGAAAGCCCGTGCAGCACGATGAAGAAGATAATTGGTCTGTGGCGTCCTCGTATCCTCAGTTGTAGTATAATTTTGAGTCTTTTATTTTATTTTTTATATATGTATTTTGGTTAATGTCTGTCGCCATTGTGTTACCGTCTTGGAATTGGAATTTTTCTTAGCCTTGCATAGTGCTGCAACTTCTGTCCGCAGAGCAAAATTTAAGACCACTGTTCCAGTTGGTCCCGTATTTAAATCCGCTGGTCGGGCAGAGAAACGGAGGGAGGTATTTTTCTTAATCAAACTTTAAATAGAAGAAGTGTTTTCTAATTATGTTATTTGTTAGTATTATTATTATTTTTTTATTTTTCAATTAATAGATATTGATTCTACCTCGTTTGCCATTTCTTCCCTTGCGTTGGTTTTTCCATTTTCTAGTATTACTCGAAGTTGGAGGAAAAACATCAAGCTTTGGAGGCAGAGAAAATCGAATATGAAGCTAGGACTAAGGTATTTGACTTCCTACGTGGACATGATTTTTTCATTACTATGTACTTTTCTTGCACATCATAACTTCGCCTAACTAATTAGCAAAGCATCTGGATCCTCTGCTGGAGTGAGTCCATACTGTAGCGTGGCGTCTGAATCCTCCACTGGAGTGAGTCCCTACTGTAGCGTGCTGTGGAGATTTCCAACGCACATAAAATTTGTATTTCATCACATTTGTTCTAGATTTAACACATTTGTTTTAGATTACAACAGATAGAACATTTGTTGCAACAGGTTTTAACTGTGTTGAAGTCTCTTTTCAACATCATTATGTATACTTCCAAAATCATTACTTCGCATTTCAACGCATTACTTCTATGTGTTGACATATGATTTAAGTGCGTTGAAAATCTGTACGGGACACTACAGCAATAACCCGCTACAGCAGATGCAAACTCAACATGGAACACAACCTCTTCATTATTTACTTTTTTTTTTTTAGAAAAAAAAAAAAAAAAATTGCACACAAGATCTCTTCATTTCCTTTTCATTTAATTTCTAGGAGGAGGAAGAGGCCGCTATAAAGCAGCTTAGAAAGAGCATGGTATATAGAGCAAATCCGGTGCCTACTTTTTACCAGGAGGGACCTCCACCCAAAGCTGAACTCAGAAAGGTACTTCCATTATACTTCTCTTCTCTCTATAGTTCTTTTAATCGTTGAGTTTTCCGGTAATCCCAAGTCCCAACTAGTGGTTCAGGCCAGGTCTCCCACCCTATTCTATAATTGGTTCATAGTAAAACCAATACCAAATTGGTTTGGAAAAATGGCTTGTTTTTTGACTTTTTTTATTTGCAGAGTTGAAGCAATCCAGGAATAAATGCCTTTACCAAACAGAAACAGAGGCTGCCATAAAGCCAATTAGCCTTATCCCTCAGCTGACCCGTTTCTTGGGTTTCTCAAACAGCTTTTAAAGAAGTTGAGGTTTTAAGATGTTACTACATCTGACAAAATATTACTGCTCACATAGAATGACATACAAGGACTAGAAATCATGAGACCTAAATTGACAATCATAATGCAAAATACAGAATATTGAGGACTAAGATTACTTTTTACAACAATATGTGAAAGTTCCGGGTCATATGTTTCTCTTCACAGCAACATGCATATGGATTCTGATTACTTTTTAGTCCTAGTTTTAAGAATTACAATCACTTGTCTCACCGTAACATCAAATGGATTTTACTCAAAAAAAATGCACATGGATTTCAATTACTTTGCAATGTTTGAAGGTCACAGGCTACAGCCTACACTGAGAGAGAGAGAGAAAATTGTTGAATGAGAGTTGGCGAGCTTTAGCCAAATTTTGTCCATCTCAGGGTGCGGGTGCTTCTTTTGATTGCTTTAACCTTCTTCCAATGTATACTAGTTTACTGATATAATTAACCTGTGTAGAACAAATACCCCTTTTTAATTGTCTTTTTTGCTTGTGTTAGACAACAATAAAATTTACTTGGTTCAATTGAATTCCAGCTGCCACTGACACGTCCCAAATCACCCAAACTAAGCCGGAGAAAGAGCTCTGGTGATGTAGCTTGCTCGCCTTCCGGGGAAAAGGGAATTTGTGCCCGTGCTATTCGTCACAGCCTTGGCAATAGCCCCACTGCCAAAAATAAAGAACAGACAATTAGATGGAATGGTAATGGTGCCTGCAAAGTGAAGGACAGTCCAAAACGGGCTAAAGAGAGAGCCAAAACAACCCCTCATGAAGTAACTGAAGAGAGGAGTGCAGACATCACCGTGAGCAGTTAGTTTTGGAGTGGAAGTCTTGAATTTCCTTATAGTTCATGGGACGTTGTGCAAGTGTAGAAGCTCATTTATATTGTCTTGTTCGCGTTGACTTGTTCACTTGTTTGACTGATATATCTCATATCTGAATTGTATATTTTCTGTAACTTATATTGGTACATGTATATTGCATATAAAAAGAGATACCATTTCGGGCTTTTGTAGTTTGGACTCAAAATTGTTTGTTTCCAACCTATCGTATCTTGCTTATAAATTGGGTGACATTACTTGCTTTTTGTTTTCTACCCATTCATTGTATGAAGGAACTGGAGTTGTAAGTAGATTAGGTCGTTTGCATCTGGTTTTCGGGAACTGAACTCACTGGAGAAGAAGATTGTTTTTATCCAGGGTTTATTAGGTCTGGCAAGTTAGTTTGAGGATATAGACGACGTGCACCAACAGAAAAAGAAACATGTTTTCTTGAGCTCCAGTGCAATGGAATTGAATTTCTCAGGATGCCCATTACCGTGCCGTGGGCAGAGATGGTAGAATGATGTATTAGGATGCTTATTTCAATTTGTTAACCATTATGTTTTAGTGTTTCATGTATGCCTGATTTGGGTTGAATTTAATGTGATTTTGATCATGTTCATGAGATTTTTTCCCTCCCTCTTTCAAACAAGTACTTCTGATTGAAAAAAGCTATAGTCATATGAACATCTTAAGCATTTGTGAATGGTAAATTTTTCTGGGTGTGTACAAACATTGTCAATTGATTGAAAAAGCAGGAATGATCGGATTTTTATAAATTTCACGAGGTGCAAATTCTAGAAACTAGTTGGAGTTCTCTGCATTCAGATGTTCCATCAAATGGAAGAATCAGGTTAAATTTTGTTGAACTTGCTAGGAGCTTGGGGATGAAGTGTGAGATAAGTTAGCTTCATCTCTGATGAACATGATCAAAATCAAACATTTTTCCGAAATACTTGGGTCCGCTAAATAAATCTTATATATTCATTTCACTCTATTTAAGATTATTCATTCATCAGTGAGTGAATCCACATGCTATCACATCCTCCAAAAATAAAATAAAATAATAAAAATTTGGATGCCCAACCCTTCAATGATTTTGTGAATAAAACCGTTAATTTTTTTACCCTGAACTCATAGTAAAATACAGAGAGAGAGAGAGAGCACCCCATAATAGGGGTGGCTTGAAATAATGGACATTATACAAAGAGGAAAAAAAAAAGCTTTCTGCATTGTTCAGCTCTTTGTAACTATTTTTCATGACCCAAATTCAAACTAAAAAGAATCTATGAAATTTCCCGAATCTATGAAATTTCCCGAATCAAACATTTGTTTCTTTCCTATTAATTTCAATAGGAATTTTTTTAAAAAATAACCTCTAGTTTAATTTTAAAAATTGATTATTTTTTTTTTCCTGGTAATTAAGATCCTTTTTTAAATTAAAAATAACCTCTAGTTTAATTTATATTTTCGCTTTTATAAGAAATTAAACATCAATAGGCTCGGTAACATTAATTTACGTGAATGGTAATCTAGTCATAAGCTTATAAAAGTAGTATTTATAAAAAAGGAAATATCAATTCTCAATCGACAACAAACTAATGTTTAGTGTTTATTTTTGTTATTTTATGTGGGTGTAAAGCGGTGGCAATTCGTATTCGCGGGTCGTAATCGTGTCGTGTTAATTTAAGGGTATTATACTAAATAGCTCAAACTGAATAGGATCTGTTTAATAATCGTGTCAGAAACTCTCAACACAAATCCGACCTGTATATTAAACGGGTTACACGTGTAACTCGTTTAATAACCTATTTACCAAAATAAAAATAATATTATTTAAATTATTAATAATACTCAATAAAATAATAAATACTAAAAAAATATATAAATTTTAATCAACCAAATTACTAAATAATTTCTAGTTTACAAAATATTCAATTATAAGATATAATTTTATATAGTAATTTTAGAACATAAATAAAAATTTATTTACGATATGTATAGTTAAACGTGTATAAACGGGTTACACGGATTGAACCCCTCAACCCAAACACGACACAATTAATTTAACCAGTTAATTATGTCAACCCGTTTATGACCAAAACTCGTTTAAGGTTAACCCAAACCCGTTTAACTTGTGTCGTATTTAAATCATGTTAGCGAGTTGTGTCAACTTTTGCCGTATAATGTATGAATATGAAGTGCTTAAAAAAAAAAAAAAAAAAATGAAGTGCTCAATCAAAAATTTGCTCAATTTTTTTAATTTTTTTGTAAGGTAATAAAAAAAATGAAGCGCCTCTCTCTCCCTCTCGCTCTCTCTCTCCCCCTCTAAATTTGGTAGAAGTGGACAACAGAACGGCGGAGCTTATCCTCCACCCATCTTTGAGTCTCCATTTCATTTTCCCGGGAAACCATGGTCAGCCTCTGCAACAACTTCATTGCCGCTCCATTCATTCTTAAACCCATCAAGAACCCAAAACCCTCTTTCCTCTCCACAAAACCCAAATCCCTTACCTCAATTTGTAGGGTCGAACACAGACCAAGTGGCACTAAGCCCCACAAACTAACCTCCATGGATGGTCCCAGCAAACCCACTCGCAGGAACCCTAGAAGATCATCTCACGGCGCCTCCAGGCGTTCAGTTATCAAGAAAACATTCAGTCAAGAGCAGGTGATGTTCACCGCTCCGCTCTCCGACGACCCCGTTGTCGCCATAATCGGCGGAGGGATGTCGGGTCTGATTTGTGCTCTCAATCTCGAGAAGAGAGGGATTCGATCGACAGTTTTTGACACGGTTGGTCAGTTCTGTCGTTTTGCATTGTGATAATGTAGAGTTGTGAGTTTTGTTTGAATTTGTATAGCAATGAATGTTAATGAAATGATAAATTAAAGAATTAACACTAGTTTAGGAATGTAGGTCTATGGGAATTTTTTATTTATATTTGATTATTTCTGTAGTTGCTTGTGATTTACTAACTTATTGATGGTTTTTAATTAGTAATTTTTGACTTCAGAATCATTTATTGTTGTTTTGTGGGTTCTAATTTTTTTTTTTTTTTTTTTTTTTTTGCAATCATGTTTAAGTATAAATCAAGTAATGGTTTCAAAAGGATTTCTTAATTTGTTGTTGTTTTGGTTGATTGTGTAACTCTTGTGTGTCTTAATTTTCTAATGTTTATTGTTTAAGCTCCAAACGACATAGAATTGAACTCTTTCCCCCAATCTTCCTAGGACCAACCTAGTTTCTTTGGCTCTTTCACTCGAAATAGTGCTTGCAGTGAAATTCAATTGCATTTGGAGCTTAGAGTTTGTAAAAGGTCCCACAATCTGGGACCAAAGTTTTCCATAAGTTACAGTGGAGAGTGCTCTTTGATGATTGAGAGCAAAACAGGGAGGCATCACTGTAGCTTTGTTCCTCATTAAATATTGGAAAATACCTAGGATGTTTTGAAAAACTTATGGTTAAAACTCATCCAGTGAACTTTAGTAGGGTGAACCGATGGCTGAATTTGGATATAGAAAACAAGATCCATGAAGTAGTTGATCCTTTTTCTTCATGTAACATGGCATGAGAACCTGCCAAACTATGAAGATGTACCTGTATTAGGTCTGTCTGTGTTAACAATTGGCCTCCCATCCATGCGGCAAGATGTCTGTAGGGCATTGGATGTATAACACTAGACCAAAAATGAACTCTATGAATGGTTCCCTCACCTCATTTACCTTCTTTCTTACCTACAAAGACCGTGGCTATGCATGGGCTCTTTTCTTATTCTTCGACTTAAAACTTCTCAGAGTCTGCAAAACTCAATTTCTCTCGCAAACACCCGAAAAACCTTAAGCCTAATATCTAGATGTGGATCCAAACCCTTCTTTAGAATCAAAGTATGGAATCTTTTATGATCGCAATGGTACTTTGGAAAATCAAGACGACTCTAATATTTTCACATAAAGTTTAAAACTTTTGGTGGCATTATCTTATATTTTATTATTTTCCAAAACAATGATTATAAATTCTCCGGCAAACCTATCTCCCAACCGTGAGCATATTTACGCTCTTGAATAAAAGTTGAAGAGACCATATATATATATATATTTCTTTGTATGTTTTAGATAACAATTTCCTTTTAGGAATCAAAAACAATGTTTAGTGTCCCTACCTCCTCAACTATCTTCATGCAATTTGATTGTGGTGGGATTGAATTCATGCTAAGTTTTGTCACAAGTCTTTCTAGCATCACATTTCATAAACCATTAGTCTAGCATCACCACATTTTGGTGATTACGAAAGCTAAGCAGAAAGTGGACATAACCACTGAATTCATTTTTGGAATTGTGAAAGAGCAGGGTGGATGAGGATAGTCGTGGGCCTCTTGGTCACTACTTATAGAGGGTCCTTTTTTTTTTTGATAAGTAAAAATATATTAGAAAAACGTTCAAAAGGGGAACGTGTCCCTAATACACAACAACGAAAACGAAAGAGCAAAAGCCAAATCTACGGACCAATAGAGTCCAATAGAACAAAAAAATCATCAATCGAGGAGCAAGCGTTGCCTCTGACATAACAGAAAAGAGAGCGAAGAATAGGAGATTGAAGGTTTGTAAAAGACGATTCCTTCCCTTTAAAGTTTTTGTTATTTCTTTCTCTCCAAATACACCACCAAACACAGTGTGGGGTGACCCTCCAAAAATCACGAGCATGACCAGAAACAGGGTAACTTCTCCAAGCGTTAATAAATTGGAAAGAGTGCTTAGGCATTACCCACTGAACGCCAAAAATACTGAATATGAGATTCCAACAATCAGATGCAACAGGACAATGCATAAGAAGATGGTCCACGGACTCATCATCAACTTTACAGAGACAACACCAGTTAACAATGGTATTACCTCTCTTACGCAGATTATCCAATGTTAGAATTTTTCCCCAGGTAGCAGTCCAAACAAAGAAGGCAACTCTAATAGGAGCTTTAGAGCGCCAAATACACTTCCATGGGAAATTATGCCCAATAAAATTAGACAAACACAAGAACATGGATCGAACTTCGTATCTACCATGAAGAGGGGGTCCACAAAATATCATCACAACCTCTGCCAACATCCTTCTGTCTATACAACAGGTCCAAAAAGACGCAAACTTCTGCTATCTCCCAATCCTGAAAAGAACGCCTAAAGCGCACATCCCACGTAACTCCACTGTTATCAAGATGATAACAGTCAATTACATAAGCATGCTTATTCTCGGCAATGCTAAAGAGACGAGGAAAGGAAAGAGACAACAACTGATCACCACACCATAAGTCTTCCCAAAATCTAAAATTCATACCATCACGAACCTTGAACCGAATATGGGTGGAAAACACATCCCAACCTTTCTGAATGAACTTCCAAACGCCAACGCCCCTAGTAATGACGAGAGCACCAACCTCCACTACTTATAGAGGGTCCTTGTGGGGAAGGAAAATGGGTGGAATTACTTGGGGAAAACAGAAAATGGGTGGACTTAGTGTTGCAAGTAGTAATATAAATGAAAGGAATTGGAGTCTTAGTTATTGGAAAAAAGGAAAGGACTGAATAGGACTTTTTTATTTTGGTAGGTAAGACTTTAAGAGACACACAAACACACTCACTGCTCGAACCGCTTACCTTCCCTTGGGGAAGGAGAGCTCATACTACCTGGACCATTTTCCTGGTGGTCGAATGAGTTGGCTGTGCACTGATGAATACTTTTTTTTAAACGTGGTGCTGCTTCTTCAAACATCTTATGGCTGTCTCATGTGGTACGGATCACACAAGGAGGAGGGATGGTATTGGGGTTTTTGGCAAAGTCTTGCATCAGTGTATGGATGACCTGTTGGCCTTCAGTGGCTTCCAAACTGAGCTTGGGTTGAGTAGTGATAGGGTTGGCTCAAAATTGACGTTAGACCTGGTCTTGCAGAAACCCTTTGTAATAAGCCAAAAGAAGGCCTTTCTGTGATTTCCCTCACAAGATAGGTGTTTCCAATCCATATAAAAAGATGTAATATGTTCTGAAAGTTTGATTAAAAATTGGAAAATATCCTTTTTTCTGTCTGATTGGAAGAAGTGACTCTTCTCCACTGCTGTTGAGAAACACTCCCCCCCACCCCCCATCTCCCCCCCCCCCCCCCCCCCCCCGGCGGGGGGCGGCGGTCCCGTGGTGTGTGTGTGAGGAATGAGGATCACCGTTAGATCTTGATTTGTGCAATATTTGAATCAATTAGAAAGAGAAGCTCTTTTGTTGTGTATGCTGGCACATATTTTCATGCTTTGATATTGTGAATTTGGGTTTTGCAATGTGCACACCCCATCCTGCATCAAAACGTTTCATGGTTGGCCTTCAATGCGACCCAAGTCAGCCTATCAACTTTTGCGGCCCCTTGGCAGGTTATTTTCTGAAGTTTTGTTAAGATTTCAGTGTTTATTTTGATGTGTAGTTATGTCCAACAACTTCATGAGAGTTTTCTAAATTTTATTCTATCATTTAGATTTGGAGTATATACTATTGATTTCTATTTGTTCAATTATTTAGATCCTGTAACCTCCTTTGAACTCTGTTTGATTGTTGAAAACTCAAATGTAAAAAAATCAAATCTTGAAATTCAGAATGAGCATTACATTATTCATTCTTTTTTAAAATTTCTTGTAATTAAATGCAATATTTAATAATATTTACTCCAATTAGGTTGCTTTTTTTTAGGAGGTTAATTTTATAGTCGATAGACTAATTTATTCAATGCTGCCTAGTGATCGTTATATATTTGCAGGGTTTCTCACTATGTGTACCTATTTTAGGGTGTTCATGGGTTGGGTGGAAGAATGGGAACTAGAATTATCGATCCTCAACCACTGATATTTGACCACGCGGCTCAGTTCTTTACCGTCAGTGATCCTCGGTTTGCTGAGTTGGTTGATGAATGGTCCAAGAAAGGTCTGGTCACACAGTGGCAGGGTACACTTGGACAGCTTGAAGAGGGTGGTCGGTTTGATCCACTACCTTCTTCTCCTCCACGATTTATAGGAGTTAATGGAATGCGCCCCCTTGCAGATTCAATACTCTCTCAGGTACTAGCCATTTCTTTACATATTCTTCTTTTGTACGCTTTTAATATTTTTGTAGCATGGGGTGAAGAAATTATATTAAGCAATAAACATAATATAATTGTGCTATTTATTGTTGGAGACGTAAGGGCCAATTCTTTTTCATTGCTAGCTTTTAAATAAATTACATGCTGCTATATTTTACTGTGTTGTTGATCTAAAACTATATTAAAGTTAGCTGTTCCACCATACCTCCTACTTTTTGGCCTTTCTTCTCTCTTCCTTCCTGTTTTAGCTGAAAGAAATTTGACATGTTATGCAGACTTGTATGGTTAATGTGGTGCGTCCTAGCTGGATTAGTAAACTTGAGCCGTTTAATGGGATGTGGCATTTGAGTGAGAATGGAAAACCTCGTGGACAGTTTGATGCAATTGTTATTGCACATAATGGTAAGTTTGCCTTCTATATTTTTTATTCTCCGTGTGGCTGTATCAAGTTTCTACTGTCTCCTCTTAAGACTTAATTTCTCTAATCCTTGTTTGAGCGTGATATGTACATACAATACAGTGCACTTCCTCCATTAGTCTATGGAATTGCTATTTAGAAATGCTAGAATGGGCTTCTGCTTGGGTTAAGAGTTTCATTAATTTAGTCATATATATAGTGCTAATGTAGTGATATTGTGTAGTCAGTTTGAAATGTTACATATTGTTCATACTCTACATTTTTACGTTTAAAAGAAAAACTCTTCAACACTTGCATGGTATTGAAATTTATAATCAATTGCCAGAGTTTTCACTTAGGTTTGTGGGAGTGGGTTTTTCCACTAGACTGTCTGGCCCTAATATTAAGCTGAATATTCAAAATTTTGTTTCCGTAGAAGACCTCCAAAAGATCATCCAATGATCTGTAGCCATGTTTTACATTGATTCAACCAAAATCTTTAATTATTTCCCTTTGCATTTGGGTTTACAAGAATAAGTCAACTTGTCCATTACACAGGCTTCCAGTTTCATGTTTTAAAGCACCCAAAAGAATAACTACTGAATTTTGTCTTTTATGTAGAAAATAGTGAGTTCTAAACCCACATAACATGAAAGCTTCTAGCTTAAATCACAATAGCATGCCCGCTTATGGTGATAATTTCATCTTCTAATCTTGGGCTGTCGTGTGTTTCAGGTACTGGGCAGTGGGCCCTACCAATTGGAAAGGAGATTTTATGCAGTCATTCATATTCATGTTTAGGGTTGAATGCATGCATGCATCTATGTATTTATTGATCTCCCTAGATGCATTTTCTAATTGGAAGATCAAATGATGGATGTTCCTTTGTTTGCAGCCTGGATTTTGTTTCAGCTTGGGTCACGTTGCAATCTTGTTTAGTACTCTCTTGTAGCCCAGTATAGGGTTTGGAGTGGGTAATGACAGAACATTGAAAATCACAGGAAAGAGAGAGAGAGCGAGAGCTAGGGTTTCGTGGCTAAAACTTGAAATCTCCTGATTTTTGCATAGTGAAATCTTTTGCCAGATCTTCACCGTGGAAGTAGCCCAGATTTTGGGTGAATCACATAAATCTTTGTGTTCTTTGTGGGTGGCTTGTTTACTTTTCTGTCGTGATTCTTGTTTTGTTCTTGGTTCGCTGCGTTTATCGTAATAAATTCATTTTTTTGTTTCTAATGGATCCCCTTTTTTCTATATATAGTATTTATCATTCTATTTCTCTGTGTCACCACCAGGAAAATGTGCAAATCGTTTGCTTGCTTCATCAGGCTTGCCACTTATTGCAAGGCAAATGAAGGTATTCTCAGAATCTTTCAGTTAAATGTAATATAGCATGTGCCGCTGTTCTATTTGCTATTGGCCACGGATGCGTTTTGAATTTTTTTTTTCCCTCACTTCTTCCTTAATTTTTTTTTTCTTCCTCCTTTTTTATTTTAATATTTTTTTGCAGAGGCTGGAATTGAGTTCTATATGGGCTCTTCTTGCAGCATTTGAGGATCCTCTTCCTATCCCAGCCAGTGGAGTTGCATCTGCTTTTGAAGGAGCTTTTGTAAAAGGAGTTGAATCTGTCTCATGGATGGCAAACAACACAAAAAAACTACCTTGTTCTCGGGGCTGTGGCCCTCACTGTTGGACAATTTTCAGCTCAGCAGCTTTTGGAAAGCGTAACAAGGTTCCGCAGGTTTGTTATAAAAACTATTTCCACCCGCACAAGTGCATTAGCGCACAGGCTCACAGATAGAGTAGACGCAGAAAACCTCCAGTCAATCTATTAAGGCTTCCTTCCCTCAAGGGAAATGGTAAACAGGACTAACGTAGCTGACCCAATTTTTTCGGTCATAGAATATGCATAGTTGAGTTTGCTGCATTTATATGTGCTGGTCTTGTACCTATGATGGGCTTGAATTGTTTTGTTCATGGATTCCAACCTACCAACTAAACTTTTCTTGGATCCCAGCTCTTTGAATTTGCTTTATGGATCAAATTATAATTAATCAATTTTGAGATCATTAAACTGACTGGCTATCAACTAAGGTCAGCCTCACTAATCTGATGCCAAAATCTGGGGAGGCCAAGACCAGTAGCTAGGCAGTGAAGCGTATCCTATACAAAAAATTTAGGTAGAAGGGTAACCTTTCACAACTTTCCCAGACTAGAAAAGTGTAGATAGAAGCAGGTGGAGGTTTTTTTTTGAAGTGTTTGAGATTATTATTATTATTAAAGAGAATTCATGTAGCCGACCCCATTCATATTGGGTAAAGGCAAGGTTATAATTATTATATTCAGTTCCCACGCCCGCTTAGTCCGTACGGGGACCCTCGACCTACTACTTTGGAAGGTGAGGAAGTACTACCAGGCGAAAGCCCTTGGTGGTAATATTTTTTGAATATTAAAAAATTTAAGCTATTCCATTGGGTTTTGTCAGGAAAATATTCCAACTGCCACGGCAGAGAAGGTGAAGGCTGCCATGCTCAAGGGTGTTGAGAAAGCTCTAGGACTATCAGAAAGTTCACTTCAGAGACCCTTTTATACACGGGTACAATTATGGTATGAAACATCTATTACTTGATAATGCATCGTTAGTTGTGTAATTGGCATTATAAGAAGTTTAAAATTCAGGAATAATCTTTGGTTTAGAGTGACCAAGGATCAGGGATTAACTCAGAAGATACACCATTAGTGTGTGGACAATGGAGGTTGGTATTTGATGCAAATTTAACTACAATTTTTATGTTACTCTTTCTTTTGCCTTTCCCGGAGTGGACAAATAGAGCTCTTTCTAGGAGTGTATATAGACTTGATTCCTATTTATCAAATTCTACCTTTTCTGCTCAGTTGAAGCAAACTACTTGCTCTTTTTTTATGTTTTTGTGTATATGTTTTTTTATGTTTATTTTATTTATTTTTGGCAAATAACTGCATTGTAGAAACAAGTTTTTGTGTGTTATTTTTTGATGGAGATCTCCTTTAAGAGTGGTTTTTATTTTATTTTATTTTATTTTTATTTTATTTTATTTTTATTTTATTTTTTTTTAAATGAGTTTAGGCAATCTTGAGATCCTAGACATTTTAATTTAATTGGCTGTCATTCCCTTCAGGTTTTTCTAGAACGTCACCTTCTTAATGAGTATGTTCAAGAACATATGGCACCATCCGCGACTAACTTTTGTAAAGCAGTTTTTGTAATCATGAATTCCTCATTATGACTTCTACAACGATTTCAGGGGGATCGAAGTTATTTGTTGCTGATGCTTGGGCTTCTTTACATGCAATGAACTAGAATTTATCTTACGTTTGTAGAAAGCATTCCAAGTTGATGCTCTGGGGTCACTAATCCAACTCGTCTGCTGGAATTGGTTTAGGAATGTTTTAAGCTAAACCTTGTTCCCATTCTCTTGGTTCCTTTGTTCAATAAAAACTTCAGGAACCCCAAAAATCAAGAATTTCATAAGAATGATTTACCGAAAGTTTAACGATGTGTTGGGAGAAAATTTATTAATATTAAGCTCTATTTGTTTTGAGGGAATTTTTGAAAAGGAGTGTTGCAATTGCGTTCGGTAAGATGTGATTCACTATTACCATGATGTTATATTATACATTGACCGTAATGTATTGATGTGAAATGAATTAAGCTATTTTACCAGCTGTTTCATTTTAAAACAAAGTATTAATCTATTCCACGTTGCTAGCAAAATGGTAGTGGAGATTGCTTGCCTATGAATCAGTCCATGAATAGTGAAAAAAAAAGAAAAAAAAGCACAATGTGAAACACATTCCGTTCTCTTTCATTCTTCTATAATGGATTATTTATTTATTTAATCATGTATTCATATATTTTACGTTTTTGCAGTTATAAATTGTCTAACTTTTTCCTAAATATGCAGGGGTGCAGCTCTTCCCACTAATACTCCAGGTATCCCCTGCATCTTTGATCCTCATGGAAGGGCTGGCATATGTGGTGATTGGCTATTAGGTTCAAGTTTAGAAGCAGCAGCCTTGAGCGGCATTGCTCTTGCTAATCATGCAAGTCCCCTTGATCTCTCTTCTGTCTCCTTCAATTAAACTGTCTATTGGACAAGAAAAAGGATAGTCTAAGAAGTCTCTTTCTTTTCACCCATCAACTCATCTGTTTGAAGCTATTGTATATGGTATCAAAGTTTGAAATCATAATCTGCAAGTCTTCAGTTCATATCCTTTTCTAACTCTAGTATAAATTAGAATTTATGTTTATGGGCATCCAAATAGTTGCAATTTTGGTGATTAGTTTTTTTTTTTTTTTTTTCCCTTTTATTTTTATTTCTATTTTAAAAAAGAGTACTGAAATTGAATAATTAACAATATATATTTTTCAAATTTTTTTATTTTTTATTTTTATTTTTTTTATATATTTTTATTATCAAACCTACAATCTTTAATTACAATTGGATTTTGAAATGCAGATGGCAGATTACTTTCAAAGTGGTGGAGCACATCCAGATGAGTTTGCTATCGGATTACATAATGAATTTCGACCACTTGAAGGACATGATATTGGACAATTTCCAGGATCAGAGTCTAAAGGGCAAATACATGAGGCTTCAGCCAACTTAGCAGTTAGAGCGTAAATTTATTATTTGAAGATTAGGATACTAACAATGTTTCAGTAAGTGCTGTTTCTGGGACTTAAATGTATTTCAAATTTATTTCACATTTCTGTTACACAAAGAAAAAAAAAATTACTTGCTGCTTGGTGGTTTCCCCTGCTAAATTTTTGTTTGATTTCAGTATGATTGGGTGAATGGAGCAGCCGTACAAAGCTACTGTTGTCACAGTAGTTGGGAAGGAAGGCCTTAAGTTTGTATTGTAATACCCTTGTGGTAAGTGCATATTTTGAGGTGTATGGTTCATTTCCTTAATGAGCTTGTTGAATTATGTGCATTTGAACCCACATCTATAGTCGAATTTGGGTTCAAAGGTCAAATTCTTACATTAGTTTACCTGTCATCCAAAACTTTTAGGTTAAATGGCTGGGCCATCATTGTGATTCTAGCAATATCACTGGTCTTTTATGTGGTTCTCAGTTCAACTAAAAGATGTTTATACCCCCAATCTCAACAATAAATAAAATTATTAAATGAATTAGAGGAACTTGGAACTACTTCACATTTGATCTAACGGATAGGCAACGCCTTACGTCTGTTACATTTTAGAAACCTCAAGGGAAGTTATGATATTTTTAAAATCTCAATGCAACTGAATTCAGTTTAACAATGTCCCTACTAGACAAGACTGGTTGTATAAATCCTGTCTCGCCATTCTGCCATCTGGAGTCATAATTTTAGTTTAGTATGCTTTTACGTCTTTTTCTTACTTTCTTATGCACATTTGGTCTTTCCTTTCTTGTACCACACCATTACCATCAAGGTGAACCATATCACTATTTCTTACTGGTGGAGTTATTGTTCTTGCTTCACTAAATCAATCTTTTCTCATCTATTAGTCTGCTACTTCTATTTTCTCATGAATTTATCCTTTCCTGTCGTATCTCAGTTTTCACACACACACCCACACCCACTATTGTCTCCAATGAAGACTTGAACTCTCAACATCCCATGAGGGAGGAGGAGGAGATACCACTTGTACTAATTTTATAACTATATATTGTTTCTTAATTGTACAACACTGACTCCCATTGAGCTTGGCTACTCTTCTTGCCATTTTGTTACAGTTTCCACCCACTTTTATAGTTCTATGATCACACAATACTTTATTCTCACTATTCCCTTTAACCCCGTCATGCTTTAATTCTACATAAAAAAATCATTGCAGTGCCTCCCGTCCTTTCCATAATCGAGTCTAGATAACTAAATAGTCATATCGTTGGTATCTTCTGTTCTTTATTTTCATATTCTCATCTGTATTTTAATTTTGCTGAAGTTACTTTGTGTGTGTATGTTCCCAGAAAACATTACATTGGTGATTTTAGAACACGTGTACCAGAAAGTGGTATACTTCTGCTACAAATCGCTAAATTAAGCATTCCAAAAATTTATTCCATGAAATCAAATAAAGATCATTCTTCTTTTCATTAGTCGTCATAATTAGTGGATATGGTCCATTATTAGCCTCCATATAAATTCCAATTGAATTTCTGATATTGTTTTACTATTCATCACTGCTCTACCAGTTTGCTAGAGTTTCATAATATGACATTATAATTTTACAGCATATTAATTTGTAAAACTTGGTAAATCACCTTTGTTTCATGTATAGATTTCAAAATACACTTTTGATATGCATAAGCTGATACACATGATGTCATCCCTTAAACACTTTCAAGTGACTCGATAACTAAGAATACTATCTGCTCGTAAAGTTGTTCTGCTTATGGACATATTAGTTCTGGTTTGTGATATTTCCAGGAGCCGAGAAACAAGGCACCGCAGCACAGTTGTCCATTTTCTGGGGCAATTTGCAGACATATGAAATGTCAGAAAGTGGATGAAGTCTCGAGATACAAATTCAGACACAGTAATTGAGAGCTTCTCTTGAATCTTATGGTGTTCGCAGATTTCCAAACTCAGACAGGCAAACAACTGTACTTAAGCCACGAACCCTTACAGTCACGAACCCTGGAGTTCTCTAAGATTTTCTTTTTTAAATTCTCGCCTACAGATAGATGCTTCATCACTACGGCCGTGGATGCTCATTTTGTTAAATTTGTATAATTTTCTGCTTGTTTGATTTATGTCACGTCGTACAATTCCCTAAAGATACAAATGTCTGTCAATAGGCTACTCTGATGCAATTGAGCAAAAAATTAAAATTGTTCAAAAAAGGGCACGTGACTGATATGCAGGAAAACACAGTCACACACGCCAACAACAACAGCAGTAACGGTAAACAATTGTACAATTAAGAAATGCAACAACATGAATTTGATCATCCAAAACTTTGTTCATTCATTGATGGTTAAGATGTCAATAGATGTGTGTCCCTCAATGAGCTCACTAACTTCACATAAATTCATTCTCTTATTTAATGAAATGAGAGAGCACTTTCCTGTGCTCGTCTTGAGTTCATCGCATAAAACATCCATATCCTCTGTTTCACCATGTCAAATCCTAATATATTTACATAACAAACCAGTTTTCCTAATGAAGCATCAAAAACATAATTTGCAAAATAAGATCATGGTGCTCTATACGCAAGCGATGAGCTGTGATGGATGCTGCCCTCTTGCTTTTCTGCTCTGACTGGCTCTACATTTCAACAGAAGGGATGAATTCCACTTTCACTTTAAAGACAGATGCTATCAAAATATCCCAATTTCTGAGACTTCATATCTGGATCTGGATGGGAATCAAGAAAATTCGAAGTTAAAAATAATTGAAAATCAAGAAAATTATATAGAAGAAAGTAAATAATAAGAATCATAAAAAGAAGAACATATATGTCTTAAATGGAATTTTGCAAGGCAGTAACACGTGAAAATGACTTTTAGGGTGCTCACCAAAGATGGAGTGTCGTGGGGAGTCTGCTAGAGTGGCGGAAGAGATCAAAACCTATAACCATGAAATTCACTTATAAATAAATACTAATAAATGAAAACATGGTTACATTTATAAGAACACAAGGTTGTTTATAACTGTACCAGTCCACCAGAATTCTAAGTCTGCATAAGATGATGCAATAACATAGCCTTTTGTTGTTGTAGACTTCCAAATTTTTATCACACCACCTTCAAATCAGACGGTCTACTAAAATTCTGCACATACAACCCGCACCTCTTCCTCAGACTGAGTAGGAAATGGGAACCAAATGTCAGTAGGCGTAGGACCTAAGCCCATCGTACAAACACGACCCCTTTTTTCTTCTCTTCAAGTTGATTTGCAGCGAGTTGTTTTAGTTGTGACTGCAAATAGGGAGAAAAAAATGAAGCAACACAAAATATATGAAGTAGAAAAGATGATGTTAATTACAAAAATATTCATAATGATGATGCGGCAAAAATATTATGATTTAAATGGCCACATATTCATACTTACATCAGCTGAAGTTTCTGGCTGTTGTATCTTTTGTTTTGGTTGTTCTTAACAGATCAATTCTCTAGCAAATACGTGTTTAGTTAGTCAAGAATTAAAATTAAAAAACAAGGATAGAAACCATACATGGTTTTTGAATCATTCAATTTTATATCAGAATCAGCTATCAGAATCAATAAACCTTCATAGATATATAAACAAAGTGAGAAGCCAACATTTTCATTTAGATGATGCAGCAGACGAATAGTTCTCATTCAAAGAATACTCATGGAGTAGGTCTTCTAAGTTCCAACACAATCTAACCATTAATAGGAAGTGGTTTTTTAAATAAGCAATGTTAGTCGCAAATGCACATATGAGACAGTTGTTTTTGGTTGCTCAAATTCTCATTATCATCGTAAACTAAAAAGGAGAAGAAAAAAGTGGCATCTGCATTATGAATGGATAACTAATTAAGGGTGATCAACCATCTAATGACATCGAAAGCATTCTTAATTTCTTTATTATATATTTACATTTTACTGGAATGCTAAGGAAGATTGCCCATTCAATAATGTCAATTGTGAGCAATGATACCCACTTCTCTCTAGGGATGGTAACCAACACAGACTTTAATATTGCTAAATGTCTTCAAAAGGCAAACTTATAGTTTCTCATCTTAAAATTGTAAAAACATGAATTCAGAAACAAAAATCCCAGCAATTAAAGTACTAACCTCTCATTTCAAGGCCTGTGATGCCATTTGCACATGGGGCTAGTTGAAATTGAGTGAAGTTGGTGCCTGTGCACACACACACACACACACACACACAGGGGAGTACAAAATGTGAATACATAAGCTGATCCATGGAAAAGAGAGGTCTATGTCATACTAAAACGAAATTTTGTATAAACTATTGTAAGCCAATTAGCAAAAAGAAATATGTCGGATTAGAGTACAAACTCTGAATCCAGATCAAAAACTCATATTAAATTTTATAACAAGGTGGGAAAAATTAAGAAGATGCATGTGTCAGAAGTGGGGAAACTGATACCAGAACACAGCGCGAGGTATATTGCTGTAGTCGGGTTTGCAAGGCTGCCCACTAAAAACAGTTCTCTGCAGGCATTACAAAAGAACGGAAAGTCAATTTGGTATAGCCTTGTAGTGATAATGAAGTAAGAAGAGCAATTCCATAATGATAGTTAATGAAGATCCAGATGAAACACATACTGAGAAGCAAGTTTCCTCCAGCAAGGCCACAGGAGTAAGATTCATTCGATTTGTAATGTCTTCAATAGCCCATATGCTAGGTATATTGGTTCGCGACTAATCATCTACCTACAAGAGTGGGAAATGTTGCTGAACCTCAAAATCATTATAAACTTGCAAAGATTGAAACAACCTTTTCACAATAATATATACCATTTCGCTGCATTGTTATTGAACAGTTGTGATATATTAATAACATCATTAAACAAACTAACCCAAAAATCCAACAAGGAAATCAAAGACAATGTAAAGAACCCTAACTTGGACTTTTTGTTAAACGGCTAGCCTCAAATAATGACGTGTGATAAGGAATCATGAGCTTTTAAGCCCTTTCTACATAATATCAAAGAAGGTCAATCACCTTCATATACACAAAATAAACAAGGCATCAAGTACTTTCATGGACCTCTTTCAACCAAAAGGCCAAAATACGCCACAAGTCCCACAACACACTGCAACACATTGCACAGAAAGTGGATAGCAGATGCCAAAACACTAATGCCTTCTGCACCCTGTTGTTCCTCTCCAAGACTCACAGGAACATGGCACGACAAATGGACAAAATTTAGCATCCACACAACTCGAAGCTAGAAGACATCTGAAATCAACATAGCTTGTTTCAGGTGAAAATCACAAGTAAAACAGCAAAGACAAAGATTTGAAGAAGAATGCAGTCAGAAACAATAGCCGTAGTGCTGAAATAATGATAAATAGGAATATTAACAAGTCATATAAGAGAAATTGAGTGAAGTTGAGAGAACTAATGCCATCAACCATCTAAAGTAAGTATGAGTATATTCTTAATTTCGTATGATAGTTTTTTTGTATAAAAATATTAGATAGTTACATTTTACTAGAATTAATGTCAATTGTGAGCAATGACACCCACTTCACTCTAGGGATGGTAACTAATGCTAACTTTAATATTGCTATCTATGTTTGTGATCTAATATTGCATAAAAAATGCGACTTGCCTGAGATCAATATTTCCCCTCTGTGACACTGCAAGTTTCACGAAAACAGGATGTTAAGCAGTTCTGTGGGGAAACCATTGAAAATCTGAAATCAAAAAGGAAATTGATCAGTATTTCATTACTTTTGTCTTGTTTGGTTTGTGACTTGTAATGGAAAAACTGTGAGAAAATAAAATATAAAGCAAAAATAAAAAGGACTTTTTATAACTTACAAGAAAACAATATTGTTTTTTCTTTTTTTGGTTAAAGAAAATAGAACAATTTACTATACAGAACAATAAGAATATGTTTGGGAACCTTTAAAGAATTAAAAAAAAATTACCTGTGAACTATTTTCTTTAACTTCTTCTTTTTCCATTTCCTTTGACTTTCATCATTGTTTCTGAGAATCAAACAGAGACCTAAGGGTGGGTTTTTAGCTGCAAAATAAAATTATACTTATTATACAGGTCGTTGCTGATGACAAACTTTTGAGAATCACCATCTTGTATGTGTTGGAATTGACATTAATTCAGATAGTATCTGCCAAAAATGTGGAGGCACATACCTGACTGAAAATTGGAGTTTCTGTGGAACCATCAATGTGGAGAAAGTTGAGATTTGATCATGTGGTGCTCCAAGAAACGAACGCGTTGACAGCCTAAGGAAAGTAAGGAGGGAAAATAAACAGTTAGAAGAAAGTAACACCTTCAGTTATGTTGTAGTACAGAGTGTACAACTTTAGTACCTGAATAGAAGGAATTAAGAGGGTTTTCCATTACACGAACCAGAAGAATCCAATGCGAACATGCATGAGTGTCTGTCACTCTAAATTTACGATGTCCTCATCATCCATCCTTATGTGGCGGATTCGGGAAATGATGGGCCAATCTTCCCCTTTCACACTTTGGCAACGTGGTTTCAGCAATGGACATTTGGATATATACAGGTGAGAGAGGGAGTTGGGCAGCCCCTCTTCTGGCAAGGACTGGAACTTACCGCACTTGTGCATGCGTAGATGTGTAAGAGAGGTGAGGTGTTGAAGGCCCTTGTGGTTCAGTGAGTTCAGATTTGAAAGCCACCACAAACATAGATTGGTAAGAGTGGTGGGCAATAACCATTCCTCCGGAAATGACTCCAACACTTCTTTATATTCACCAGTGATCGTGAATTTTTCAAGAGATTGGAGTGTTTGCAAACCCCACCCCATCCGGCCCTTCACGAGTTTCTCGCAATTATGTTGGATGACAAGTTCACGCAAATTGGAAGGCAAACCTCCATCTGGAAATGATTCAATTTCTGGACAGTTATTTATCAACAATACTTCAAGAGATGGGAGGAGGGTGGGCATTCGTTGTGGCAACGACTTCAGATTCTTGCAATGACTAACAGAAAAGTAGGTCAGATTGGGGGCGGCCAGTCCTCCTTGGGAAAAGGATACCATTCTAGGGTAATCCCCTATTCTAAATTCCATCAGATTTTGGAACTCGCAATCTGAAATTGAAAGCGTTTCAAAATTTTTACCCCCTCGGATGTTTAAAGAACGAAGATTTGGGAAGAAGCCTAACGGCAGTGATTTGAGAAGATGACAGCGTCCGGTTATCCCCAAAACTTCAATGGATTTGTTGAAATTAAGTTCCGTCTCCTCCGGCAGGGGAAACTCTAAACTTCTACATTCGTCGATCACAAGTTCTTTCAAAGTAGGATGAGGTAGACCTACTGCTGCTGCTACTGTTGTTGTCTGTAGAGCTTCACATTCCTTGATCTCCAGAGTCTTAAGCATCGGCGGCAATCCCGTGTCCAGAATTGACACAAGGCTCGGACATATTGCTATCTTCAACCTTTCAAGTTTAATTAATCCGCACAATTCTGGAGGAAATTCCTTTAAGTTTTGCATCCTTGAAATCTCCAATTTCTGAAGAGTAGACAGGTTTTGCAGTTGTTGCGGCAATTCTGTTAAGTTTTTCATATCTGACATCTTCAAATCTTGAAGAGAAGGCAGGCCTTGCAGCAACAACCCAACTTGATGGGACACCAGCCGTTGGCATTTGGAAATTTCAAGTTTCCTTAGACATGGGAATCGGGTGCACAATTCACCGGTCAGCTTGGGACAATCGACTAAATAAAGTCTTAAAAGGCAAGAGAACTCTCCAGCTCCTAATGCATGCCATTCCTCCCACTCTTCCATTTGCTTAAAGCTTAGTAACTCCAGAGATTGAAATGGTTTGATTGAAGAAGAAGAAGAGGCATCCTCATAGAACTCTCGACCCACCTTAGTTATTTGTTTCATCCCGTCAATTTTAAGATATTTTAGAGACGGTAGCTGCCCAATTGACGGCAAAAAATAGCAATTTGTACATCTTGTTAGTTGCAAGGACACAATGTTACGAAGCGAATGAGCTCCGTCTAACCAATTCGGAAATTTTGTGCCCCCATAGTTGAAGATGCCGAGAGACTTCAGCCCGATATGAGGTTGTAGTTTGTCAAGTACATCTCTTTCCTTTGTTGAATCATTCGCATCACCACCCCATTTCAACTCTAATTGTTTAAGATGCTTCTTATCCTTCATAAGGGCCTCTAACGCATCCTGACCACTTACTACGTTTTCCAGCCCTAAAATCTCGAGTTTCCCTCCAAGATGGCACAGTTCTTTCAACCCACTAATCCTTGACCCTCTATTCTTGCCAACTACAAAATATGCTAAACATTGGAGATCTTTTAGCATACTCATTTGCGTCGGCATTTCAGTCAATTTAGTTCCTCTGATATCAAGATGGCGCAAGTAGATTAATTTTCCCATATCCACGGGTAGCTCAGTGAGATATTCACAACGTAACAAATTTAATATCTGCAAATTACACAAGGTTGTTACTGAATCAGGTAACTGTTTGATTCTTGTCCAAGAGAGATCCAAATAGCGCAAATGTATCAAATTTTCGATTGATGGAGGCAATTCAGAAATTTGATATTTAGACAGAGATAGAACCCTTAAACATCTCATGAATGGCAACATATCATGGAGTACTTTATTGCCTAAGTAACAACGATCCAATCGGCGATCTCTTGAATATGACATGAATGTTCTTAAACATTTAACCTCATTCAGAACCCTAAAATTTTCAAATCCATCATACTCGCCTAGAACATATGAAAAATAGCAAACTTTTTCAGAGATATGAACAAGTTTCTTGTCATAATCTAGTCTAAAACAAAAGTCTCCAGATATATCTTGTGCTAAGTCATGGATCAAGTCATGCATTACAAAATAAGAATCTAATCTTTGAAAGAAAGACCTCGATAATAATTCATGAAAGCAGTCGTTACCTTCATCTTCCACTGAATTGTTGCTTTTGGGTTGCTGCACAAAATCTAAGGCTATCCATAATCGAACTAACTTTTTCTTTTGAAATTCGTAATCTTTAGGAAATATCGAACATAATGCAAAGCATTGCTTTAAATGCGAAGGAAGATAATGATAGCTCAATCTTAGAGCTGGAGGAATGTTGCGATCCAAATCCCATATCTTGCTTTTTAATATATTTTCCCACTCCTCAATTTTCAATTTAGAACGCAAGAGACCTCCGAGTGATTTTACTGCTAAAGGCAAGCCTCCACACTTCTTCACAATTTCTCTGCCAATACTCTCTAGCTCTGGATAAGCCATATAATCTCTATTCACAAAGGCGTGCTTTGCAAATAATGACCAACAATCTTCAAACGACAATTGCTCCAAGAAATGACTAGCGATTGTGCCCATCATTGACGCGACAGTGTCATTGCGTGTCGTTACGATGATCCTACTTTCCAATGCTCCAGCCTTCAAAGGTCTTCTTAATATGTCCCAATCAATGTAATTGTCATTCCAAACATCGTCCAGAACAATTAGAAATTTCTTCCCCGCGACCATCTCTTTCAACTTGGTTTGAAGTTGATTGAAGCTGCTGATCATGTCATTGTCCGATGAGGTGAGATCGTCCAATATTTTCTTCGTTATTATGGAAATATCAAATGCATCAGACACGCAAACCCATGATCTCATTGAAAAATTGTCATTTAGTCGAGCATCATTGTATACAAACTGGGCAAGGGTTGTCTTGCCGATCCCGGCCATGCCAACAATGGGGATCACAGGGATCTCATTCCCGGTTGTGTTGGCAGACAACAACAATTCAATTATCTTCTCTTTGTCATCCTTCCTCCCACAGACCTCATCTTCATATACCAAAGATGCGGTTGGCAGCCTTTGTGATGATTTCCTTCCAACATAATCTTTCAATTCAAGAGTTTTTTTTTGCTCAACAAAACTCTCCAACTCCCTAATGATCTCTTTCATCCTGGACTCTATCTCTTCCTCGGAGAGGTAAACAGAAGTGGAGACAGATTGGTTAATGCATAATAGAGATTGCTTGATCGGACGTAAAAATCGATTGAAACCAACCTGAGTTGTGCTGCTTTGGGTGAGGGACTGATCATGAGTAGCTTCCAAACTGTCCCTGAAGGCTTTGGTAGTGATCTCATCTAGCAAGTCGTCAGCTTGGTGGATAACATGTTGGAGCTCGTCCAGCCAAGCTTTCACAGATTTGTTGGTAATCTGCTTGTCCTCCGCATCATCCAGCACTGCTTGGAGGGCTAGTAGGGTTGTCTTCAGTTTTTTTCTGAGTCCATCATCCAACTTTTGTTTGGAAAAGATGCGTATGAGCTCGGGAGAAGCCAACCGATCAAATAGCACTTGAAGGAAAGCTGAGAGAAATGCTCCACCCACCACTTCTCCTGCCATTTTCTTTTCTATAGAGAGAGAGAGAGTAGCTGTGAAGAAGAGCCCCTTAGATCTGGAGAGAGAGACCAGAGAGACTAAGCAGTGAAAGAGCCTTTAGAGAGAAAGAGAGTGATCACAGAGAGACTTAGCAGTGAAAAGCCTTTAGAGAGAATTACAGAGATCGGAAAGAGATGAGAGAGAGAGAGACTTAGCAGTGAAGAGCCTCTTGAATGTTGAATATGGTTGTTAAGAAGGACAAAGTAAATCTTAATGGTAAATTGCACAAAAATCTAATAAGAATGCTGCAATTGAAATGAGACACAGTACAGCTCACGAAAAAACACCATCATTAGTTTTGTTGGTGGGGTTGGAGATTCTACACAAACACATAACATACAGTCCATGGACAAAAGCATGATACACCCGACAGAGAAGTGTGAAAATACATAGACGACTAAGAATTTTCTAATTTATCAATTTAATTAATTTTTTCTCTATAGCACAAAAACTATATGATAAAATTTTAGGACTGTTATATTCATCATATTTCTAAATAATCTACCAGTCCGTTCATCAAGGCAAATTAGAGCAAATACAACATTTGTGCTATACGAAATAGTTCAGCTCCAATTGTAAAACATTCTCTATTAGTCTTTTTAATTTTTTGTTGCATTTTGAACTAAAGGGAACAAATTTATCAAAAACTTGGCACATATCTAAAACAATAAAAAAAGAAAAGAAAATTGCATCCAATGGGATTTGAAGCTATACAAAAGGTTTACTCTATAAAATCTATGTATTATGCATGAGATGAAGAGTAAATAAAATCGTATTCTTTCTTGATATGAGAAACTCTTTTACCCATTTTATAAAATAGAGGGGTATATCTCTATCTCTCTAAATACCTAGTTGGATATTATCTAATCTAGACTATTAATTAATTAATAAATATATATGTCGATTCATATCAATTAATACAATGATGCCAGTCATTCTATGCTGCAGATATTTTGAGATCAATGACATAACAACTTTTTCGTATTAGGTCCAAAATTCATGAATGGTCAACGATAAAAGTACAATAAAAAGAAAAGAAAGATCAGAAATAAGAGAAATTATAAAATAATTTGATAAGTGTTTGATTTTTTTTTTACATTTACGAGTGAGTGACAGTTAACATTACAGATTGTATTGAACTCACAAATATGATTTGGTGGATAAATAGCAGCTATTGGTAAATGAGTCAAATTTGTGGGTTTTTTTTTTTTTCCTTTTAATTCTAAAATTTTTCTTACATATATTAAGTATACTAAATTATAATAATTAATGAAATTATAAAATAATTTGATATACTAATTCTAGAGCCAAGTCGGGATGACATCTAAAATTGAGCTTCATTATTGAAGGTGAAAGGCAATATGAAAACGAAGTTGGAATTAGACATTAGTGTGTGGATTCCACACAAACACCAATAATGTAGTCCATGGTCAATCAGAGGTAACTTCATTGAAGGGAGAAGGACAACAGCATATGCCAAGGACCAAGAAATTTGCATATATTTCCTGAAAATACACAAAACTACCCAAAAAATAAAAATAAATTCTAATGTCTTAAATAAAAGCATTTATTTATTTCAGGTAGCATGTATTCATATTAGCATCTAGGTTTCTACGCATTTAGAACAAAAAGCACACAAATTTATCAAAAAATTGGCACATCAGCTTTCTCCTATGAAGTCCAAAATTCATGAATGATCAACCACAAAAATAAATAAATAAAAAGTAGAAATGAATGAAAATGAAAGACCAGAACACACATAAAACACCTTGAAAAATAAAAGGACCCATATTGCCCTACTAGAGCAATAGAAGAATAATCTATCTACTGTTGGAGAGACACACACCGAAAGCACATTTTAAATTTTGATTCAATGCATTATTTCTAACCTAAAGTAATGTTTTAAAACACGATTTATTGTGTTGAAAAGACGTTTTAACACCTTTATTTGTAGTTTCAGCATATTACCTTGAGTTTGAGAGCTAATGCGTTGAAACAGAATTTAATTGTGTTAGAAATTTCTACAGCAGAGGATCCAAACGCCACATTCACATGAATCATCACATGGGCATTTGTCAGCTCCTCCTTCCCATTCACATATATATATATATATATATATATATATATATATATATTCCAAATATTCAAATGACTAATGACTTAAAATAAGTCAATGCAGCATTATATTTTTAGCCCCCATTGACGGGCAGAAGTTTGGTGTAGAATGGTTGAAGTTAGACTAGGGTTTTTGGTGGTGTTCAAAGAAGTTTCTGATTACCCAAAAATGAATCAGTATTCAATTTGTTGACTCTTTATTTAATGGGCATTACAAACCTCGGTTTATGAAGTTAATTTTTTTGTTTGGGATGAAATATTTATTTTAATTTTCAAATAAAAAAAATATTTTATTTTTATTCAATAAGCAGACGCACACACAATACAGCACATGAAGGATAATTACATAATCAATAAACCAAATATCTACTCCATGAAGGCTATGTTTATTTTGACTTAAAAATGTTTTCCAAACAACATTTTCAGTACTTTTTTGGTGGAAAATATTTTACTTGAAAAAACATTTTCCCACAAATCACCAAAAAAGACTTAGATTAAATTGGTGAGTCTCTGAGCCTGATAGAATAGAATAGTGGAACGGATAGGATAGCGTACCTTTGATATATATATATGCTGCGATGACTTTCTGAATTCTCTCTCCGTCTTGGGAAAGTAGGCTTATTTACTGTATTTATTTGCCCAAATTGGTCTCTTCGTTTTGTATTGTATTGTAATGTTTATTTTATATATATATATATATATATATATATATATATATATTCTGCCGGCAAACAAGAATGAAGTTTTGGCGTTGCTAATTGATGATAACGATAAAAAACTTTGTCGTTTGTGATTGGAGTTTTCATTGGAGCTTTTCATGTAGACATTCATGTTTATGTTTGAATCCCTGGACACCATATAGAAACGATGATGATGAATATTTCATAGGTTGTTTAGTTATTAAATTGTGACGGTGATTATAATTGTGTGATTAAATTGTTTTGTTATCATGAAAATTCAACAAATTTCCTAATAAATCATTAAACATTTGGGTAAGTAATTTAAATTTTTATTTTTTATTATTGAAACTGAGACATGAACCATCACCATGCTGAATTTCAGTGGGGAATTGGCCAAAACGTTAAAAGATTTTTTTTTCAAATTTAATTAATTAATTAATTATTATTATTATTTTTTAATCCTAAATCTTTTTACCATTCGGCAATACCCTCACACTTATTTGGTGGTTATAAAATAAATTTTGATCTAAAAAATATTTTATATGAAATGAGATAAGCAAATCTTATAATCTTATTAAGAGATGTGTTATATTTTATAATATATAAAAAATGACATAATAATAAATTAATTAAAATAAGAGGATACGAAAATTGGTACATTTGTCAGCTCCTCATTCCCATTCACACACTATATATATATATATATTCCAAATATTCAAATGACTAAGAGTAAGTGGTGTGAACACACAAGTTATCTATTTACTTTTTAAAAAGTAGAATGCCACATAAGCTAAAAAGTGATGATGTGGTATTTTTTTTTTTTTTATCCATATGTTCCATGATGTGTAACTCAATTATCTCTTTCTCTATTTATTATTTTATTAATTTAATTTAAAAATAAAATAAAAAATTTGAATTTGAATTTAATAATTTTTTGTTTACTTCTCAACGCCTATATTCCCAACGGCTATATTTCAATTTCTATATAAACTACTCATTCTATCTTCTTTCAATTATGAAGTCCATTTCTTTGCATTCTCAAGTCCATTATTTGTTCTTTCAATTTTCATATAAACCACTTATTCTATCTTCTTTCAATTATCAAGTCAACTTCTTTGCATTCTCAAGCCCATTCTCTATTTTTTGAATCTTCATATTTCTTATACAAAAAAAACAATGGCTTCACCGGTAGGAGATATACCCGCCTCTGAGTCTATTTCTCCATTGAATTCGTCAGATTCAGATGGGGAAGATATTTTTGAAATCCATCGAAAAAGGATGAACGATGTGAGCAGATTATTATCGCCTGATAGGGTACGGGCATTCTTTCAACCTCGTAAGAGAAAGTATATTAAACGTGATCGAGAGGAGAAGGCACAACGGCTATTCCGAGATTACTTTGCTGAAAATCCGATTTTTCCACCAAACATATTTCGTAGAAGGTTTCGGATGCAACGAGAGTTGTTTCTTCGTATTTTGAACGGTGTTACAACATATGACGAATGGTTCATCCAGAAACCCGATGCCCTCGGTCGTATGGGGTTCACTCTTATACAGAAGATGACCGCTGCAATCCGTATACTCACATATGGAATTTCAGCTGATCTTTGTGACGAGTATATAAAGATTTCTGAGCGCATTGCGATCGAAAGCTTGAAGAGGTTTTGTGATGCTATAATTGCTGTGTATGTGGAGCAGTACCAATGTTCACCAAATGCAAACGACATTGCACGTTTGCTTCGAGAAGGGGAAGAGAGAGATTTTTCAGGTATGTTTGGCTCTATAGATTGTATGCATTGGGAATGGAAGAACTGCCTCATAACATGGCATGGCATGCATATGGGAAGAAGCCATAAACCTACCCTCATATTGGAGGCCGTTGCATCGAAAAATCTGTGGATCTGGTATGCTTTCTTTAGTATGGCTAGTTCACACAATGACTTGAATGTTCTCGATCATTCCCCAATATTCAAGAGCATGATCAATGATTCAATGCCTTCAGTTAATTACGTGGTGAATGGGTATCGACATACAATGGAGTATTACCTATCTGATGGTATATATCCTAAGTGGGTAACTTTGATGCAGACTATCCCGCACCCAACAACAGTCAAAGAGAAATTATTTGCTAACAAACAAGAAGCTGTTAGGAAAGATGTAGAACCGGCG